AGCTCAAGTTCTTGCTGGTATTGGTACCAATGGTGTTAACTTGTCAAGTCTCTTTGGTAAACGTGATTTGAGTGAACTTGCTAGTCGACAAGCAGAAATTCGTGGTTTCTTTGATACATTGGGCAATGGTCTTCTTAATGGTTTACAAACTGTTTGGACAAATATAGTTCAAGGTCCAATTGAACAAGCTCTTCAAAGTTAGTTTTATCTTATAATTAATATAATAAATAAATTGATTTATAAAAAAACCAAAGGTGGTGCTCTTATGGCCGCTCAAGTACTCGCTGGTATTGGTACAAATGGTATTGATCTTGGTAAACGTCAATTGAATAATGATGCTCGTGGAGAAATCATCGATAATCTTGTTGGACATGCTACTGGTCTTTATACAAATCAAGTAAAACCTGTTGTTGAAAATGCACTTAATAGTATGTTTTATATATTGATTATTATTGAGTATTTTCTATTTTATTTCTAATTTAGGTGCTATTCTTCATCTTGCTGGTATTTTAGCCAACTTCTCCCAAAGCGGAATTGGTCGACGTTAAAAATCGTTTTTTTTTTCTCGATATTTACTGAAAGAATCATGAATTCGATTTTTTCAATAAAATTCTTCTATCGTTAAGGCAATTCGACCTTCTTTGTTTTTATTTTTCTTTGAATAATCTTTTGAAAATATAAATTAATAATAATTAAATTAATAATATATATCGAAAATGATTATTTATTTTATAATTAATCAAATATTTCGAATATTCTATTAAATTATAATTATTAATTATTATTTTTATTTTATGTCTAAAAAATAAATTCTTATAAGAAAATAGAGAGAGCAAAACAATTTTCAATTTTTATCATAAATTATTTTAAACAAGTCTATTAGAAGAAAAAAAAAAGTAATTAAATATATTGGTGGATATTTAACATAATATTATTCAGGTTGTTCACTATGTTACGTCTTAGGAGTGATATCAAATATTCGTATAGATATATATCTATTAATAATGACTTAACTATTAAAAAAAAAACAAGAAAAAAAAAATCTTCTATTTTCAAGGTCATTTTTATATTTTATTTTAAATATAACGATGGCAATTTTCTCTCGTAAACGATTATTGCCAATCTAAAAGCGAACAACAACAAAAAAAACAACACATATGTTAATCGGAAATAAAACATAAAAATGACCTTGAAAAAAAAACCAAGAGAAAAAAAAAACATATTTTATTTTATTATTTAATAGTTTATTAGTTGATCATATATATATATTCACATATCATTTACTATTATATAGAATTAAAATAATAATCATTTATTATATAACATCATCATATTTATTTATATTTATCTTTAAAAGAGAAAACATCTACTCTATATACACATATAAGATATTAGCTCAATGATTACGCCGCCTGGAATCATGAATATCCGGTGAGAACCCACAGAGAAGATGCCGTTTCCGACCGGAAAACTCCGGAAAATGGTAGGAACTAGGAAACACTAATCCAGTGCTCGAATCTGGTTACTGACTGATCGTTTAAGATCGAAAAAAATCATTTTTATTATTTGAAAATGGAATATAGTTTATCTTATCATTTCTAACATATGTTAAACATGTTTATCAATGATACATTTTATCATCATGCATTATCATATATGTTTAAATAGGAAATTGATTTCATATTCGAAGACGCATTTGACAATGACAACGAAATTATAATGATAAATTTTCCATTTTCCAATAAAAATCATTCAGATTTTCTTTTATATATTTATCTCAAAATGATATTGATAAAGAGATTTTCTTTTTATTCCAACTTATTTCATCAATAATAATCTATAACTTATATTAGACAATATAGAATATATTAGATTTCTATCAATTCAATTCTTTATTTACAAATTTAATATTAAAATTCATTAATAAACAAGAAATTTTCAATATTTGAATTAAAACGATAATATCTACTCTTCAAACCACTTATATATATTAGAAAAATGACAGATCAGAGTAAATACTAATTCAAATTCGATTTATTCAACATCATTTATTTATTCTATAGTGTCAAAATAAAACATTTGTAGTTTGTCTAGAATACAAAATTCTATATATATATATATAATATTATATTGTAATTAAGACGATATAAAAGTATAAAAAAGAAAGATGACCTAGATAATTTGATTTATATATTAAATCTGATCATTAATAAATATAAATAATATCTTTAATTTCTATGAAATACGATTATTAATTCAAGTAAAAAGAATATATTTTTCTCATTTGAGTTTGATATATTCTGTTGAGTTGGTCTAAGATGATAATCTAAAAAAAAGGCGTATAAGAAAAAAAGAAAACTTCTAGTTGTACCAGTGAAACTAGTTTATATTTGAAATGATGCTAATTACTAACTAATTATCAATTCTATTATAATATGAATGCATGGCTAGATTAATGTGATCAACCGATCGATAAATTATTCACTAGAGAATAGAAACACGATTCTATCATCAATCTTTTTAAATATATATATATGTATCATTAATTGTATGAAATGGTTGATTCAAATTTATTTTGTAATCTATCTTTTTTTGAAAAATGAATAAGATTATTTTGATTTTGTTTTTTTCTTTCGAATATTTATATTTGATTATTTATCTCTTTTATTGATAAGTTGAATTGACATCCTTTTTAGTAATAAATGAGGAATAAAAGGAATGAACAAAAGAAATAAAGAATATACACCGAGTATTGCCAGTATTTAATGTTGGAAAAAAAAAAAAGAATTGATTTTTAATTTGTTGTTATTTTTTGTTTTATTTAAAATTCTTTCTTAAAATATTTCTATTTGCGTTCATTTTCGTCTACCCATGAGTAACATACGACTGCGTACACAATCAGCATACTCATGACCACGACCACTAGCTGGCATTCTATTACATGGTTTTAATATTTGTTCAAAATCGGCTGCTTTTTTTAATACACCATGATCATGATAAAGTAAGGAACGGAATGGTTGATGACGTTGATTATTTGACTTAACGAATCGATCAAGATCATTGTCAATGTCATCTATGAGAGTATCGTCAAATTCTTCTCTTGATCTTGATAATACCAATAATGGAATAGCAAAAACAATGCATATGCAATATAATGTTGATAATTGTATATTCATTTTTAGTAGCAACGGTTTTTAGAATAATTATCTAAAATAATTAAATTAATATTTATTAATTAACTATATCTATATATTCATCATTCATTACTTCAATCGGTCAATCATTTACTTTTATTAATTCTACATAATACAATATTTAGTTATTTTCTTATCATTTATTCAGTTAGGAATAGGAAGAAAACTGAATGTGCTATGAAGAGAGATTTATATATAACAATATATTCTAACAATTTCATCATTGTTGAAATGCTCAATAAGGAAGGAAAAAGAGATTTACCGAAGTGAACTATACTAACTTCTAACGACTTTACTTGTTTTCTGTCGATATCGATAAAGGTTAATGACATATACAGAATAATTAGGACATCATTTCACGTCAACCAAATGAAGTTGATGATAAAAATATAATAATGACGAAATATAGCATAGAAAAAAAAGAAGAATAATGATTAATTCTCAATAGAACAATTTGTCA